GCATTAACTTATTTTTTGCTTGGAAACACTTTCAAATGGACGTAAACTGCTTCGAAAGATATCTATTAGGGTAGAGAGAGAGAAGTTGGCAATTAACTTGGCTATACATCGCGTCGTAACTTTCCTGCAGGAAATAATTTTTTCCAGATGAAGAATTTTATTCCACATATTCTAGTTGAAAGCACACATAATGTCCAATCGCGTCATCCATTAAGAGTGATATTTTGTGGAACATATCCACCAAATGGTGCTTCACTGAAGACAAGCTTATGCGGCTACGGCATGAATTATAAACATCGCGGCAATGTATGAGCGAAGAAGTCTAAATCAGCATAACTCAAAGTTTGCTTATTTACCGCTTGTTATGCACATATTTTCTGATTAGCTAATAATTAATCCCTCTTTTGAAATTTACAAAAAAATTGAAGCTAAATTAAATTGTTGTAAATTCTCCAACAACAAATTACTTTCTTGACATAAATATTCATTTTCTCATATCAAACTAATGGAATACTTTCAGGTAATAATGAATTAGTTGTGATTCGCAATTTTAATACTCTTAACACTTATACGCAATGTACCTAACTCAGCCGGAGCTACAAACAGAGAGAAGCAATGAAATGAGCAACCTCCCTAGGTAGAGTCGGATTATTTTTGCACAAGATTTATTTATGCAAATAAACACAAACTCGAAATAATTTTCACTTAAAATAGAAACTCTTTGATATTAATGTATACGCATTATTTACTTTCTGATGCGTAGCAATAAGGCTTTCACTTTTGATTTCTTTTGACTGTTCTTTACATGGCAGCCAACGCTGCTAGCTGCTAGCAACTATAAACCTATAAGATATTTGAATGTTTAATAAATTATCGCCAGATTGCTAAATAAGTGCCAAAGTATAACTCATCGTCATTACTTTTGACGTTGTTCGCATTGATTAAAACTGCTTTTGATCGGTTATTTATTGTTGTCTTGCTAGCAAGACTTCCCTTCTTAAGGCGACAGCCAAAATGGAGATTATTTCATGGATTGTTTCGATACACCAATTATTCTCCCCGCAACAAGCTCATGATTTGGCTGAAAGTGCACTAGCTAGTGATGGATAATTCTTTAACTAAAATATCAAGCATAAATTTTGTTTATAAAATGCCTATTAAAATCTACTGAAATTCATTGACACTACACTATACCCCCAATATGTTTCGCTAATATTGTAATGGCGAATACATGGAACGTTTTACCGATCGAAAAGAGTTTGGGTTAACGTTTTGCCTTTGCTTATAGAAATTATGGTGATTTGATAATATTAACGCACTTTGTCAAAATTTGATAACAAAGCAAACACACTTAACCAAATTTGTAACAACATCCTGATGCAGATATTGCTGCCAAATTCACTTTATGTACAATTTGTAAAACCAAACGTAATTCGGTGTTTTCCGCTTTTTGAAACATTTAAAAAGAACGAAAATTCCATAAAATTAAAATTTATTTATGAGATTAGGAATTCCTTTTGTAAGTTTGTGTGTCGACTGCTAAGCTAATATTTATTTTAAAAAATTTGCATTTGTTTGTTGTTGTTGTGCAGTTGAAAATTCTATTTACCGACAGCGGAGATTTTCAAAAGCATTGCTTTGTGACTTGACTTGGCTTTGCTTGGCTTTCATATTTGCGGGTGTTTGTTGTTGGTTTAAAAAAATAAAAAAAAAAAAAACGGGAATAAATAAAATCTTTTATATATTTTGGCACTAAGCCAATTGGCTTAATTAAATTAAATAGAAATTGTTTTGTTTTGTTTACTCGCTTTTACTTTTGTTTACTGTTACTTTTTTAAATCAAATGTGAAATTTAAATGACAAAGGCTGACAAAACATTGAAAAATAAAGGAAGAGCGAAAAGTAGTTAATAAAAGAAGAAATTTTCCGATGTCCTATAATTAAAATGAAATAATATATATATTCATTTAATTTTACATATCACTCAGTCTTCTTCTGGCTTTTGTGAGGCAGCCTTTTATAATATGACAAAAAATTATTTTCACTTGATTGGCATCAAACAAAAGCACTCAATACTCAATACGAACACACATATAAACTGGGACGTCAACTATTTTATGGTTTTTCATTAACTGGTGCTCTCGTTTGCCAAAATCATACAAATCTATTATTGACGAGAGGTTGCCAAAACAAAAAAATTTCACGGCTTTCGAATTTTTTCAAAAGCACTTAAAACAATAATTGTTCACATAAATAAGCAAAACCGGATGATGTGTAAAGCTATAAAGTGGAAAAAAATATACTTTACACAATGAATAAAGTTTTAATTAAAGAAAACTTTTGACCCGTCAATGCTTAAAAAGTTGGAACTGTTTCGAAGTTATATTGGTCTGCTTAAGCAATTACTAAGAAGAAGATGATTCTTCAGAAACTGCCAAGACTAAAGATATTTAAGACATTTCCCTATTTGAGAAGCTTCGTCTTGTGCAATTGCTAAGAAGTTCTCATTAAAAAGCAGCAAATAGAAAGCTAAGTAACTGAAAAATTAAGGGTTCCCACGCCAATAAATTAAGCTTAACAGTTACGGTCACGTTGAAACGACATGTAGCAGAGAAAAATTCTCCCTTTTCTAGTCGTTCCAAAGAAGAATTTGCCACGTTTCCTAAAGAGATATACAAAAAACTGGTCGCGGGTTCAAATCTCAAGTACGGTAGAATTTTCATTACAGGCAAGCATGTGATCTAAATTATCCGCCTTATCTGCCTTCTAAATCCATGCTTTGCAAATTTATTTACAAAATACATAGACAATAAATAAAATATTAGGTCAAGTCAAAAGTAACTTCAGTGTTTTATAAGACATTTATTTTGTTTTCTTTGAAGCAAAATTATATTAATTTAACAGTTGGTTGTGAGGTATTCTACCTTTTCACTATACTTCTTGTTGATCGGCGTGGATTTTGCTCAAATATTGCCTTTAAAAGTTTGTCGTTAAAGTCGGAAGAATGTCACCTCTTTTAGGGTCGTATCTCCAGATTTTACAGATATTTTACAAATCAACTTCTAACTGCCCGATCAGCTATCAGTTCTTCACCGTATACGCTGCACCTAAGCACGCACGTCTTTTCATCTATCCGTCTGTCCACCTACGCAAACATCATCTATCCGTCTGTCCACCTACGTAAACATTTCCCGTTCCCAAAAACGATGAAACCACCCACAAGCTTGGAAACACGACTAGAACGCCCACACCCTGTACAACAAAGACAGTGAACATTTTTGCTGTTCCCCTCTGTTGCTCGTTGCGCAAAAAATACGGCCGATACATAATATAATCTTCCACAAAATTATTTTACACAAATAGGATAACGGCGATGGATACCAAAAATTCAGTCACGACGAAATATAGTTTTCTTATTTGTTTTTCACTTTATGTTGGGAATAAAAGAAAAAAGTTTACTTTATATTGGGAAAGTAGTTCGTCCCGGTTTTTAAGCAGAAATTTATTTATTTCAGGACAAAATGATTGAACTATATTATTAAAGCACTGCCCTTCACTGCTTATTAGTTTCCCCTTCATCCCCCTATCTTTTAAGGCCATATATGTTAGGAGCCAATTTTCGATCTATAGTCCGGTCTGCAAACCCTTTTCTTATTTCGTTTGAATCAACTGGCCGACTTCCCGGTTATCTTTCAATGTCTTTCCGTTACATGTCATAAGCCACCCAATTTCCTTGCTTCTCAATAAACCATCTCGAAAGATTCTGGAAAAATTCTATTTAAAGCAAGGCTTGTGTTCAATGCTAAAGTTCAAGCTTCTAGAACGTAAAAACTACTCCCTAAATGATCTATCACTTGCAGCACTGTCGTCATAACCATTCGATGCGCTTCAACTGGACATTTTTTCGAATTTAAGACTATTCGCTTGCAAACACTGCTTAGTTTACATAAAATCTTACATATTCAATATACTATGTTTATGAAACTTAAAGCGATGTAAGCCCAATATTATCGAGATATATGTAACCTTTCTAAGCCCATTAAAAGCATCTCATGGAAACAGACTAAGCTAATTTGTACTCTCACTTGTGTAATAAAAGTTTCTGATTCGTTAATTTACTAATAAATTTTTGTATTCCAAAATGTGCACTGGTTAAAAAGTGGGCAATGTAGCTTTTAAAACAAATAATTATACATATAAGTATGGAAAAGCTCCTGCATAGCGGTCAATGAATGATAGAGTTCAGTTTTGAAATAGCTTTTGACCTAATAGGCGTTGAAGATTTCTATCTTTTAATATGTTTTTTTAAAAACGGAAAACAAGTTGTTAAAGAACCTTCTAAAATAAATAAAAGGTTATAAAGAAGTTGCTCAAATTAGAAAGTTCTGCTTTAAACGTTTATGAATAGAACGTTCTGCTCCAGAATGTTGCTAACGAATATTTTTCAAAATCTAACGAAGAAGTTGCAAATAACTACTTACTGAAGTGTAGTCATGAAAATTTTCTTGGTTACCTTTTTTGCGGGAAGATCTCCGTTGGTAAAACTTTAGTTCGTCTTTCAAGTTTCTGTAAACTTTATAAACGGGAAATTTTTTAATATGTAAGCCCGAATGAAAAAAAACTTTAGCAAAGAAAATTTTTATAGGAAGAATTTATGCTATGCAAAAAAGTTCGAATAAAACCTTGCTTTATACGGTCTAATGGGAAGTGATAAGGGCGTTTGGTTTTATAACATTTTAACATTAATAACATTTTCCCGAAATCTTTTTCGCAACGAGAGCATTTGAAATTTCGAATCCCGTTGTGCGTTTCCTGTGCCGAAATGTCAAAGTTTTCTATTTGAAACTTGGCTAGAACGGAATATATACCATCTTGCATAACTTAGTTAGAAATTATTCTTAAATCATAAGTATTTATTTAATTTATTCTCTTTTAAGCTATTCACATACATTCACTGACTTCCTAAATATCTGATTTATTTCTTCAATTTTTAAAATCAGCCACGCAACAAAGAACAAGAGCAAGAAGTTTTGAATTGGATTTTCGAAGTTTTAGGTGAGAAGGTACCTGCTGGTCAATATGAGGATATTTTAAAGGACGGGATCGTACTTTGCAAACTAATCAACAAAATGGCTCCTGGTTCAGTAAAAAAAATCCAAGAACGTGGCACTAATTTCCAGCTAATGGAGAATGTACAGCGTTTCCAAGCGGCCATTAAAAAATATGGTGTACCAGAAGAAGAAATATTTCAAACTGCCGATCTCTTTGAAAGGCGCAATATTCCACAAGTTACTCTCTGTTTGTATTCACTAGGACGTACGGTAAACTTAAACCGATTATATTACTAATGCGAACTAAGAAAAACATTTAAACCTTTTTGGGTAATTCTAGACACAACATCATCCCGAATATAACGGTCCCACTTTGGGACCAAAAATGGCCGAAAAGAATGTACGCGAATTTACTGAAGAGCAATTGCGTGCCCATAATGCCGAGCTTAATTTGCAAATGGGTTACAATAAAGGTGCCTCTCAATCCGGTCATGGCGGTTTCGGTAATACACGTCACATGTAAAACTGCTTACGAAATTCTCTTAAATTAAGCAAATTGAAATTTTATGATTACTTTGTTATATAGATATGTATATTTTTTTTTTTTTTTTACAAGTTCTGATTGTAATTAATAAACTTGCACTTTGCAAAATACTAACAAAAAAATGACAAAAATTTATGGAAACGAAGCTTTCTCTTCAACTTAAGGACATTCTAATCGAATATTGTTCGAAAATAATTTGATTGCGTAATTGTTGATGAAATTTTATAATTACAGTCTATGTACATAAGAGAATTTCAAATGAAACAAACGGCACGATTGCAAAAGATTAGTTATTATGTGCTTGCATGCATTTGCGTGTCGATATAACAAAGTTAAAATAAAGATCTCTCATCAATGCGCATAGAGTAAAAATAAATTGCATATATATAAATTTGATTGCATTTTCATACATATAACATAGCATATGTTGGTTATATAAAGCTTTTATATCAACACTTGTGAAATTGTTCAGCTCAGTTAGAAGGTTTAGTGCACTATAAATCCTTTTATTTAAGTTGCTATGCAAAATCCTATGGAGATAACGTTCACCGCGATGAGTTCGCCTCCTTAGGGACGAAGACTTTTCGAATAAAAAGGTTGTCCAATCTTTTTATGTATAGACACGCAGCATTATACCGCTGTCAGTAATGCAGTCATATCCTGGAAATTAATTGATTTCTGAGAATATTTCGCCTATAGGCAATGTTGAACTAAACAACAGCCTTGTTACTTTGTATGGAAAGTTTGAAAAGTCAGGTCAATGAGTGCCTTTATCTAGAACGCACACCTTCTCCCCTTCAACCTGTACAAGACCAACTGGTAGTGTAGTATGTGGTACTTCTTTCCTGCCTTCGCCTAAATCGGATTCGTCGACGCATGTGCCTTTGAATTGACCGTTAATAAAAAAGTTCCAAATAAGTTGGAAGTGCCCATTCAGGCTACTGTTAATAAAAATTACAATTTGGCCTCCTCTCCTAGCTGTTCGGGAGTACCTGCTGGTCACCATGCTGAGCAAGTCGCGCAATCTTCACGTGCAATTGTGGTCCTCCCGTCTATATTCTCACCTACTCAAAATTCTCCACCTTCAGACCCTGTTCTTTCTAAAAGGGATGACGTCCGCTTATCGGCCGTACACCTCAGAGAGGCAATATTTGTGTCAAAACTGGCGCCTAAAAACGTTCGCAACGCCTACAGGTAATGAGACGTCACACTTATTTTCGAACTGAAGTTAGTAAATATTTCTGAAAAGTTTTAGATTTATATGCGATATCAGTACAAAGGTAAAATTTATTTAATCCGGAATATACTGTGATTAGTGTACTGTATTTACACTATCAGTTATAAAAGACTATTTTATTTTAAGTGACTTAATTAATAATGCTGAGATTACCACAATCGGCATGTGGACGCATATATATTAGCCAACCCTCGGTATTTCTCTGCGATTCTTCATTTTTATTTTTACATTTCGACGCACTTCCAAATTGCATACCAATCTTTCTCATACTGATCTAGATCAAATAAATATGCTAACGTAAGTATAGCTATAATTATGAGTTTAGTAAGTCAAAAAAGTCAACTTAACTAAATAAATCAAACATTACTCTGATGGTTTCTTTCCTTTTTGTGAACACCTTTCCACCACGAGTTCTGCGAGACTTGCGAATAATTAATATACGAGTTGTGCAAATCGGTACGTACGCATCGGTACGGTAACGCATATAATAACAAGTTACGACGATCCTGCCATAATGTTGCATGGCGGTTCTATAGTAGCACTTCATTCGACGATCTGTTAGATAAGAAATTTTGATATTTCTGAGCGAAAAAATTAAGTAATGAATATGAGTGATTTTTCGCATATCTCTGTTAGAAGACTAATACAGTGAGCGAAACAGGTGATAAGCGGTCGTGGCAACATCCGCACTGTACTGTGAGTGCATCAAAACTCCCCAAAGATCGCTTTGGCGATCTATTGACAATGTGTTTTGCGTTGTCGTGATGGAAGGCGCCGCCTATCCTATTGAACAGAACTAGGCGTTTTGCCTCAATTGCTCACATTAATTGTATTAGTTATTGACAGTAAGAAGTGAAATGAACCATTTCTTGTTTGATTAATGTTTAGTTTCGCTGTGATGAAATAAAGCTAAAAAACTTGCTTAATATTTTGAAAACTCTTTTCGGTTTTGTTAGTGATCAGTCGACCAGCGAGCCGCGCATCCTTGATGAGACATACGGGATATAAAAAAAAAATCATTTGAACGCATTAATGTCGAATCAATAGAAAATAATTTTTGCAATATAGTTAACAGATGTGAAACGAAAAAGATTTTCTAGCTGATCAAGGTCGAGAGATTTTTACCGAAATTAAAATACGAAATTTACCTATAACATTCACCATACGGTACAGACAACTATAACATTCATCATACAGTATGGACAACTGAGCGTCCTCTATGTGTATAAAAAGCCATGATTATTGCAAGCATTTACTTATTAAGCACATATTTCCATCCTATAATGGGGTAAACGAAACAAACCGTAAGCCAGAGGATTTAATATAAATTCTACTCTACTCGGGAACTTCTTATTTTTCACACGCTCACATACATAGTTCATTAGTTTAAAAAGTGGTATTCATTGAACAAAGTATGTGTTGGGCAATGAGAGCAAAAACACGCTATCTCAAAACGTTACTATTTTAAGAAAAGAAATTGCACCAAAAACTTTGTGATTGTATAGGCAATAGGAGTTAGTAGTCATTAAACATTTAATGTCTAGTACGAGACAAGGTGTTACAAGGACGTAGAAAATGCTTAAAAAACCTTTCCTACTTTAGTCCATTTTAAGTTTTAACCGCTATATACAAATACTTACTCATACGTGAACACGTGTTTAATTTCATTATTCTTAGCACGAACTTTAAAACTAAAATACCCGTTTAAAGCTTAAGGCGACCTGCATGCATCTCAATCAAGCAACTTTCATGTTTGAACATGCACAAGAATATAACAGCAATGATAAAGGAATAGGAAAGAAACACTATGTAGCATATAAAATAATCTTAGTGGTTTACCACATGCGAAAGGTTCATCCGGACAATGAACTCACATTGCTTGGACGAAGCAGGGAACTAAATTCTTTACACGGTACGCTTATTATACTCACTGTCGATGGTTGAGGGTATGTTATTTAAAATAGAGAACTTGTGCTTTATACGATCGAATTTATTTTTACAAGACGGGTGGTGCAAAATTATACAATAAACACTGCTTTATTCCTTTGTGTTGCAATCAATCTTATTCCGACCAGAGAACATGAAGTCTGGTTTGGACGTGAGATGACGAGCTTCGCAATATATTTTGCCGAACCATGCAGCACCCCGTTGTAAATTTATATCACAATTAAAATCGTTTCCGATGGCAGCCATCAACTAAGAAACGTTTTGCCACCGATCTACAATGAACTAATTTACTGGCTGACTTCCCACCGACGGTGTTACAGCATACATATGTATACGATTTTCACCAGCGCGATATTTCCGATTAGAAAACCGTGACCTCGTTTTTTCATTTCTCTATAGTGTTCACAAATATAGGTGAAATTTTTTGTTTTAGCTACGAACTTCTAAGAAGGATTTGGTTATCCAGATGAAACCAGCTTACGATTGGCTTATTTGCAATTGAGGTTTCATGTAGATTTACTTAAGTGTTTCATTTCTTGCTACTATGAACGAATGAAACTTAAAATCGATACGATGCTGCCGTTGATTTTTAGCTGAATTTTAAACATTAAATTTAAAACCGTCAACCTTTCGTGTCTGAAGTGCCTAGAAACATCAATACAAATTAGGCAATATGGAAAAGTTTGATTGCAGTTTAATTGATGGTCTATACCAGCTATTCAATTGCACTAATAATTCAGACAGTCTCCGACGCGTGTGCCCATTCCTTCCTAGTGGTGAACAAACATTTCAAAGTTAATGACTGGGGTCGAATCTCGCATAACGGCGACCACTAAAATCTTTTACGTCTCATGTTTTCGTTTATTGTCATAAAAAAGTGGATGGGATAAAATTTGTCTGTTAGCTTTTACTTCCCTTAAAAATATGGTTAAGAAAAATTGATCTACCAGGCCGTGAGCTCCATCAGAATTAATTAGCGCACTTAGATTTTCGCGTTCTACTCTCCAAGCCCTTTCATTTGATATCCATGCGGATGGCATGTTTAACAAAAAATGTGTCCACCTGCTCATGGTGTACGCCATTTTTATTTTAGAAGAAAGGAATTTGTAGGCAAATAATGTCTCTTCATTTGAGGAATGTAAAAAATACTTTTAAACATTCTGTCTTCTTTACTTTATGATTAATAACCCCGAAAAAGTGAAATAAAAGAAAATTTAATCACTTGCAGCTTTGTGTGGGCATGACCAATCTTTCCATTTTTGCACATAAATAGTAAAGTTTTGCATAAGCTAAATGTGGACAGCCTTCTATCCCTTATTATTTTTGAGCAATGAGCAATAACCAAAAATTTTTGTTTACAGGAATAAAGTTGCTTTTAGTTTACGCTCCACTGTAGGCTTTTGCTCTAAAAAATTTGGCAGATTTTCAAAACCAGCCTGCGTGCGAAAACTTCCAATGTTTTTGCCAAATTTGGAGTCGATATCTTCACTTTTGCGAACAGGAGAGTGTCAAGAAGACATAACACATAGACACAGACGGACCGACATGGCTTAGTCAATTCAGAATTTCAGGCTGATCAAGATATAAGTACTTTATAAAGTCTCTGAATGTTGAAAACATTATGAATATATGAGTAAACCCCTCTTTCTCCAGTGGTGGGTACAAAAATCGCTGGTGGCCTTAACAAAAAAATACTTTAATTAAACATAGAAATTGAGTGACCTTAATTCCGCGTTGGTGTTAGTAAGGTATCTCGCTTTATCGACTATTATATTTGCAGAAGCCTATATTCAAATAGACAAAAAACCATTATAGTCGCGTTCAATCCTTTACCAATATTTACACGTTCGACATTAAAATGCTGCAAATTTGCTCACCCAGCAGTGACTCTCTTCTGCAACCTTTCAATATATCACACGTCAAACAAAAAAAAAAAAAACGAACCAATTGTCTTTTCTTTTTACTGTTTGCCTTTTTATTGATTGCATTGATTTCTCCCAATGTGTGCCCTCGTTCTCCCTCCCGTGATTATATTTAATGTTTTTGCTTCGTGTTAAAATGGCAAACATTTACTTTGCGCGCACACACACACGGAGATATTAGATACCAGTCCGCCGATCGCATGGGAATGTGCAGAAAGTCACATGTATGTATTTTCGATATGTATGTGT